TAGAGAAAACCTTGTGAAAAGTGGTGTGTATATGAGGGATGCTTTATTTTTTTAAAACGCCTGAGCTATTTCAACTAATTCCCTTTTGTTTGATTTATATTAATATTCTCTAGGAAAACACTATTAAACAAGCAAGCTTCTAATCAGGAGCTCGGCTCTGCTTCCCCCGTTTTTCAACACATCAACACATACGCTGATAACCAGGTCACAAATGCCGGTATATGTTTCAGCAAGCGGTGATAACTTGAAAATACAACATTTCAATTTTGTCTTTCTTTCTCATTTAGAGCCACCAAACTTCCATAAATGCATATCTAAGAGTTTTATTTATTGCCCCTGTTATTTAATAACTGCTAGGACAAAAAAAATCCCTTTTAATCAGATGTTTATTGCCAGAAGTATTACATTGCTGATGAGTCCCATTGTACATTTCTGTATTGTTCATTTTGAGTAAGTTTGCAAAGGCACACGGTTCAATTCTCGCCAAAAAACACAAAATGGCATCCACTGACACACAGACACACACACACACACTTGAGGGTGCTCAGTAAGCTGACAAGTCTTCTGGATTTACTGGCTGCTTCCTAACTGCTCTCTGCCCCCGAGGCTTCCACTCCCTCTCCACACCTGGTGGAGGATCCTCTGTCCTCTGAAGTGCAACAATCCTCTCACCACTTGCCGGCATTTGAGGTCACTTCCTCTAACACTTCAACACTTCAGCACTTCAGCACTACTTCAACACGGTCTACGTCTTCAGCCTGCACACAAATAGGCTCTCGTCTTCCTTTTCTTGTAACTTTAAGAAAATGTAGTGTTGCTTTACATGTTACATGTTTTTTGGCTGTGTTTCTGCAGGTGAGGTTGATAAAGAATTGATTATACAATCATTTTACTTTACTTTACTTTACTTTATGTTGGTAATTATTGCTAGATGCCAGCCTTTTAAAGCCTTAAAAGTCTCTTAGTATCTACAGTGCAAATCATATGAGGAAAAAAAATGTAGGCCATTGCCCATTTACTATTCCAAATAAAAAAAGGATAAATGTATGAAAGCAACTGCTCATTAAAATGCAAAAAAATCAACCAGGATAGTAGATTAAAAAGCAGGCATTACTTGTTTTTTTCTCATGATAGCAGCATACCATAGATATACAATAAATCACAAATTATAATGCAGAATATGAATAATATAAAGATGAAGCAATACACCTGATTTTAATATTCAATCAACTGACTGAATTCTCTGATTAAATAGTGCAAAATTTTTCACTCAGCATTTCATCTTTTAGGTCTTCAAGATTTGAACAGGTGAAATCGTCCTTAATAATTAATGCAATGCCCTTGTGCCTTAGATAATAAAAATATTGCCATGCTTTATGCACCTTAAGGACATCGACTCTAGCAAAAGCAATGGGTGATAAAACTGGGACACGCTGCTGTGTTTAGGCCAGACCAACCATGGAAGCACTGAGGTCCCACAGCTTCTTTGCTGCAGCATCATCCAGAGCCTGTGGTGCCGGCGTTTTGGGGGCGCAGTCACTGTATCACGGAAGAAATAAAAGAGGGGGAAAAGTTCACCAAAAGTCCAATACAGTGTGGCCATAATCTAATCTGATGTAGTACAATTGCTGAAAACCTTGTCTATGATTGTACACTGGACAAAGAAAAAGTGGACTAACTTTCTAGATAACTGCAACTATTAATTTATCTTCACACTCAGGTGAGTTTTATTGCAGATATACTCGCCTGTAGTAAAGGCCACTGACGTTGGCCAGGCTCTCGTCCACAGCGCAGTAGATGGTGGTCTGAGCTCCTTCCCAGGGACTTTTGACCAGACTAGTAAATAGCTTTATTATGACCTTCTGCCACAGGGCTAAAGTGGGGTACAAGTGGCGGCCTAATTCGGTGCGGATGACCCCTGGGTGAAGGCTGTACACCGTCACACCAGTTCCTAATGAGAGGGATCCATCAAATAAAGTGTTATTTGCAATACATGAAATATTAACACCCTTTAACATGGGGAGAAAGAAAAAGACAACACAAGAACACCACGGTAAACTAAGAAAAAAGAAAAGCACTAATCTTTACCCTTGCATTGTATCTGATCAATAATAACACAGAACAATAATAGGACGTACTGTACATTGGACGCTACCTTGCAGTCTTGCTGCCAGTTCTCTGCAGAAGAGCACATTGGCCAGCTTGCTCTGGCGGTAGCTCATTTCACGACGGTAGTCTTTATCAAGGTTGATGTCATCGAAGTGTATACGACCTGCAAGAGAAACAAACCAATGTAGTCTTTAAACAGAAATTACATTCTGTAGAAACAATCATGTAAGTTTGATCTGTCATAACTGTCTCAATTAAAACACAACCAAAGTGGAATATTATATCAATATCACAAGGCCCCATTTGACAATCACGGGTGTGTTGAAGAACTACAATGATTCCCTTTACCCTTCTCGTGGGCCAGGCTGGAGACGATGACAATGCGACTTGGAGCTGACTTCTTCAGCAGGTCAAGAAGACAGTTGGTGAGGAGAAAATGTCCCAGGTGGTTGACACCGAACTGCATTTCAAAGCCATCCTCAGTCGTACTCTTAGGACACATCATGATACCTAACAATCAACAAAAAAAAAATTATATGGAATAGAACTGACTAATAAATAACCTAATGGTCCACCATTAGTTTACTTTTGGCCTAAAAAAGTTACATGTCTTTTCATTCAGCTGAACTTTGATCCTGTTATTTAAAAGTCCTCAATGTGTGTGTAGGTCATGAAGTCTGCCTGATGCACTTATCACCTGCTTGCACCTTTTATATAAGCATGATTATTTGAGAATTCTTTCTGCAATGCCAAATTTTCACCGCTGCTGACTGAGTAATGGAGTACCATTGTAAATTACCCGCATTGTTGATGAGGATGTCCAAACGTTCCTCATTCTCCTGGACATCTCTGGCCAGGTCTCTGACGGACTGCAGCGAGGAGAGGTCCAGTTTCTTTACCACCACGTTGCCGTTTCCACTCTGCTGCCGGATCTGGTCAGCTGCAATACGGGCTCTGGTCATGTCTCTGCAGGCTAGGATCACTCTGGCCCCTTAAGAAAAATAAAAAAAACATTAAAAAATTCAGATTTTAACATGAGTAGTCGAAGTAGTCGTCATGGTAGAAGTCAGATTAGGTAAATCCAATCAATTACCTAATAATAGATTAATTAGAATAGATAATGTAATAAGCCAGTATAACCTAACATAGTACAGCATAATGTCAGATATGGTACTGTGTATAAAACACCATGAGGGTCTCACCCCGCTGGGCCATATCCAGGGCCGTCTCCTTCCCAATGCCAGTGTTGGCTCCAGTGATCAGGACTGTTTTCCCTTCCAGCCTGACCTTGCTCCGACACACACCCCCAGCCATCCACCTACGCAAGGCCAGTACAGCTGCCCCTGAAAGAAAGGAATATGTTAACAGTGTTGCAGGTCTGCAGCTAACCGTTATTTTCATTATTGACTCATTTCGTTTGGTCCATAAAATGTCAGAGAATAGTGACAAATGTTGATTGCTATGCTAAGGTGTGGTCCTCAAATGTCATGTTTAGTCCACATTAAATATTTAGTTTACTGTCATAGAGGACTAAAGAAACCACAATTCACATTTTTTCTTTTTTTGTTAAAAATGAAAAGATCAAAACTATTAATAGATTAGCAAAACAGTTGGCAATTCATTGACAATTAATCGATTAAATGACTAATTGTTGCAGCTGAAATGTCAAATGTAGTTTAATATGCCTTGTTGGCCTTTACAAAGAGAGCAGCCCTCACAATGAATATCTCTGTCAGGATGAGACACATATGATCATACTATGAGCTATTTATCTGACGTACAGATTTCTGCCCTGATGACAAAGCACACACCATTACTTAGTGCACATTATCCGCAGCTACAGTTTTATTTACTACTCAGTAGTAAGAATTAGGCAACTTCTCTTACATTGACATTTAAGAAAATATGGAAACAAAAAGTGGAGCTTACACAGTATCCTTTTGATAAAATAAGTGGTTTACCTGCAGTGAAAGCAACTATGAGACCGGTCGCATGTTTCTGTACAAAGTCATTCATCACCTGTGAGTAGTTTTGCATATTTAAGGCTGTTAATTATTAACCAACTTAAATGAAAAATGACTACACGCTTGAACGGAAAGATTATGGCGGAATTAAAGTTAACAATGTGGCCGTTTAAAAAAGTGAGTACTGATGGATAAGATACAGAGTACTGTCAAAGCCTGACCAAGGAGCTTTTATTCCTTTCCGTATTTTGTAAAGATAATCCCTTCTCGCGAGTGGGGGCGTGGTCTGCACCGACTGGGATTTTCAGAATAAGACTCAGTTTAATTAAACCCTCGGTGGTCAGAGCAGCTAGTGCAGTATGACTTTAATCTGCTCCTGTGTTTCCTGTCTATGATACGATGAATTGGGCGTCGCGATATAATGTCAGACTTTCTCGTAAAGGTCTAATCTAAATCTAAAAGGTACAATCTATTACTAAGGAGAGCAGAACAGTCTATCTGTGTAGATTACACACGCCCTATAAAACACACACATTAATACAATGCAGCTTGCCCACCCATGTTAGTTTATCACACCTTTTTACAGATAAAACGAACCGACAGTTAAGCAGTTGAGATATGATCTACCTGGACTAATCATCAACAACTTTCACTAGTTTATTTTGGTGCTTATACTTACTTAACCCAGGACATGGTGTGATTATGTGGGAGGCATATTAGTTCTGCTACTTTTTTTTTTTTTTTAATCATCCGAATACTTCCTCTATCACTGCAAAATATATAACTCATAAAGTGACTTTAGAAAAGAAGTCAAAGTGTGTTTTAGGTTCAAATAACTGGTAGGCTGACTTACTTCGGGCTTTTATTTTGAAACCTAACAATCATGACTGGTCACAGTATGAATGTGTCGCAGTGAGTTGACACTTCGTGGCTTTAACTAGTTTTAAAGCTGCCTGTGGTACATTCAGAGCTTATACTGGGTCTGCATTTACGTTTCACAACCGTGGGCTAATTTTTTACCAAAAAATAAACAAACTTGCCCCGGAAGTTGTTCGTGCTCGTGCCACGTCAGAGCTACTAAAGTGTTAGCCCTGCTCCACTGTGTGTGTGCCAGCAGCAGCTCCCTTTTCTCTTTCACCATGCTGTGCCTGGGACTGAGCTGTTTGCTGCTGCTGCATGTGTTTGTGGTGTTTGGGACTGAGCTCACATTTGAGCTCCCTGACAACGATAAGCAATGTTTCTACGAGGAACTGGAGAAAGACGTGAAGTTTGACATAGACTTCCAAGTAAGTTCCTCTTAAAGCTTCATCCCTGTCACTCTGTGTGTTTGTGTGTGTGTGCTTGCTCTTGGAAAGGAAGAACATGCATGGTTTTAGTTCTTTACATAATCTCAAAATGCATGTATTTTAACACCTCGATTTAAGAACCTTGTTTTAATAAACCTAACTGTTTTCCTGCACAGCCACATTGATTGCATATGATACAACAAAACAACATATGTTACAGTGTTACAGAGCTGCTGGCATACATATGTCCTGTAATCCACACCTTTCCTTTATGTGTGCTTTCCCCCCCTGTAGGTGATTTCAGGAGGAAACTATGATGTGGACTGTTTTGTGACGGATCCTCAGAACAATGTCTTATATAACGAGAAGAAGAAGCAGTATGACAGCTTCTCTCACACCACAACTATGAAGGGCGTCTACAAGGTCTGCTTCAGCAACGAGTTCTCCACTTTTACACATAAAATCGTGTATCTGGAGTTCCGCCATGGAGATGAGGATCCTCTCCTGCAGAGCATGACCAGCTCTACTGCACTGACTCAGGTAAGTCTGAGGAACTGTAAAACAAGGTGGTCTAAATCTGTCTGCTGCAGTGGAAACCCTTTACTCTGGCTGCTGCTTTGTTCAGAAAAAAAACATTATATGCTCATAGCATATAATAACAGTGTTGTGTTTAGGCTAACAAATCAGTTGTTGAGGTGATAGCAGGTGAAGCAAAACTGTTGCTGTTCCATTATTGTTGGTTTAGTTTCAGATCTGAGACAGTTTCTATAAAGTCCACCAGGTGGAGCCAGTTGTTCTGACTTAAGTCTCACCATTTACTGGAAGTATTGTGTTAACCACGGCCCAATCTTATTTGCTAGTCTTTTAATGTGCTCTCCTTACCCCACAATGAAAATTTAAAGGGCAGTCTGTTTCAGTTTTAGGTAAACTGAAGTTAGATATGTCAGCTATTTACAATAAATACTCCAATTATGACCACTTCAAGTCCTGAGACTTGTAGGAAAAGTGTAGGAAGTTGAGGTGAATCTATTCACGAGCAGTTTGGAGAATATAATTTAGTTAGTTTACATATGTTTGACCCACCTTCCACTGAATGTTTTGGCCCAGGCCGTGGCTGTGCTCTTGATTCATCTGTGGTGATCTTTCCACTTTCAGCTGGAGTCATCTTGCGTCTCCATTCATGAGATCCTGAAGGTGGTGGCTGACTCACAGACATGGTACAGGCTGAGAGAGGCGCATGACCGCACAAAAGCAGAGCATCTCCTCGAGCGGGTGACCTTCTGGTCCATAGGAGAAACCGTCCTGCTGTTTGTCATTGGCATCGGTCAAGTTATGTTGCTCAGGAGCTTCTTCACTGAGAAGAAAGGCTCTGTGGCAGCCACCACTTAGAAATCCTATTCTTGATACGTCCTCAGAAAGACAAGGTGGAACAGCGTCAGTGTGAACATATAGGTGCATCTGGAGAGTAGCAGCCATCTTTTATTATTTCCAGCAAACCCTTTGTTTGAGGGATAGTTCAGGAAGTCTTTTTTTTTTTTCCTGCTTACCCAGTGTCACACAAGTGTGAATGGCTTTTTTGTGTCTGTGTTGTTTTGTTTGTAAGAAGCTGTACTGAAAAGAAACAACACTCGTACTTTGAAAATTGAGATTCGACACCTTTCAGCCTTGCACAGATTATTTATTAATTGCTATAGACGTACAACAAAAAGCATGTTTAGTTTGATGCATCTGGTAATGGCCAGGATTGCCTTGCAGTAGGACCATCAAGGATTTCGGTCTAGATAGTTGTGGAAAGTGTTGTTTCCGAATGTCAGTTTTATTTTATAGTGTGTGATGTGTATTATGTTTATTACCTTAATTTATGTGCAAAAAGTTACCAGTTGTAAGAGCTCTGTCTCCCTCATGTCCTTGTGTGTCTTAAGTGCCTTAAGAAATTTATTTTTTCATTTCCTACCAATTTACCAAGTTTATGCCAAGTTTACGGTTTACTGCCTGTTACATGCCATCCTGTTGTCACTGATTGATTAGATATTCTCACTTTTATGTTTTAAATTTGGTTGGTAAATTTGGTTAAGTCTGTGTTATTTTCACAAAGAAATACGTTTAATGGACATTAGTAAGTGACCAATTATTGTGGATCTCACCACTAAAGTTATGTCTTCAGTCCTATTTGTTTATCCATCTGTTTATTATCTGTAAAATCAGATTTAAGTAAAATGTAGTAAAAAAAAAAGTCATGTTTGGTGAAGATGCAAATCCATTTTCCTCTTCTAAGATTTGCATTTTGAACATTTGTGGTATTTTCTGATGCCATTTCAGATCCAGGTTCACATAAAAATGTATTTTTGATTTTATTGATTTAAGTTTTATTATTAAGAAGAGAGATTTTGATTGTAAATTGTGCAGATATAAGCTCTCATGTGTTTTCTAATTAATGGCAAATTACAGGAGATAATAAAAGCTGTTTCCGGCCGACTCGTGCCCCTTTAGTGGAATCTTTTCATGTTTCTTATCAAGAGCAAAAATGACACAGATTGGACAAAAATGACATTAGTTTACATATTAAACAGAAACGTCCACAAATCTAATCCTATATAGGCCAGGTGCAGGTTTGGAAAAATCAGAAAGTATCAGCACACTGGAGGAAAAGCTCAAAACTTGAACAGAAATTGCGTTACCCTGGTGTAGGCCTTCACAACCTTTTCCTTAAGAGATCCCCTTTCTATCACTGAGTGAACCTATGACCCCTGACATATTTTATTGATATTTCATATTCAACGCATAACAATGACAGTACAGAACAACTGATAAACTGTACAATGAGCCCAAAGTGTGAACACAGTAACTGCAGGAAGTTTGTGTAAAACGAGCAATTTTTGGATGAATTTTGAGCAGATTATTTCCTGTGAATGTTACATCAGAGATGAGTTTTCCTAATACATTTTTAAAAAATTATTGACAATAATTCTTACATAGTAGGCTTCTTTTCTTATTGTTCTATTAACTCTTTGGTTGGTTTAACTTTGTTTATCACAGAGTAAAGGCTCTGGGCTTCAAAGTTTAAATCAATAATCTAATTATTTTGAGATAACAATTTTATTTAGTTTTCAGAGGAAAGAAAGAAACCAATAAATATTGTCTCATCATATGGGCGTCTCTACACTTCTAACACATTCGTATTTAATTTCTCATATGCAATAGATTATGCAAAACACTGTGAGGATCAGGAAGGAGGAAACAGGCTACAGACTACCTTGTAGTAGTGAACTTGAACCTGATCCACTGACAGTCTAACCTGATCCACTGACAGTCTAACCTGATCCACTGACAGTACAACCTGAACTCACCGTGTGCTGCGCAACAAACACACTTTACTCTGATTGGCCCGGAGCCGGTTATTCTGTCCAATCGGAGCGCTCTATCCAGAGTATGTGGAATCTACATCCGGTGTCAGCAGTGTACCGGGCTCCACCGGCCGGTTGTTCATTCATAAGAAAACACAGCACCGTCAGTGTCAGCGACCGAAACAGACTGTAGTAAACATGGCGGGTTACCTGAAAGCTCTGAACACCTTAAAGAGGAGTACAGCCGCTGCACTGTCGCAAAGCCCCGCTGTGGTCTCACCGGCCGCCGTCCGCCACCAGCACGGACTCCAGCAGCGGAACTGTAAGTCAGCCGTCGACTAAAAGCACAACAATATGACTCCACTGCGTGTCTCTAGAGACTGTATGAGTGGGCAGTGAGGACAAATGAGTAATAAAGAGTTGGTGACAGTGGAAACCTGTCGATGTGGCTGATTGGCCAGTTGCCATCAATGAATCATACAAGAGCATGGAAATAGTAAAGACAGTCCACTCATTCATTTCTAACACTGATTTACAAATGTATCAACTCTAAGAACCTGATACATCAACATAACATCACTGACAACCTAGAAGTGTAAGAAACCAACAACAGAGCAATATTATGCTGGATACTGAATACAATGTGAGGTATTTGTTGTATTAATGCCACAGGTTGGTGCATTTAGCCCACAGCAGATACATAAATACTATACTGTATGTTGCATAGACTAGAGTAAAGGCCATAATAGCAACTGGTGCCAGCCTGTCCTGGCATGTGAGTCCACGTGTTTTGTCAGGTACAAAGAGGGCTTGGCAAGTAATAACTGCTATCAAAGCCGTCATATAATCCCAAAGGTCACATTGTCTGGCAGAGTTTCACTGTCACAGCAAGAATGAGACAACTGTGTGTAACTAAGAAGTGAGAGGGATATACAACGAAATACAGGCGTGTTTGTTTGGTCTGTGGTGGTTTAGACAGTTGTCACAGGTTGAGGCGAGGCGTTTGTTCTTGGCTCGTCAACGAGCTCCCCCAGAGGATGTGAGTTTAAAGACTCCCGATCGAATTGCAGGGACAGTCACACGTCAGCCAGAATGAACTCAAGAATGAGAATTATACTGCATAAGGCGGCTGATTCAGTCTAAAGCATTGGAGTATGCAGATTATTACAGTTTGACCCTTCAGCTAAATGAATGTTTAGAAGATGAACTACTGAGTGGCAACCTCGACTGTGTGCAAAGTTTAAAACATGTTCGTTATCGTCGCCCCCTGCAGCCGTACACATGATAGCTAATGTCTCTGTGCGTTCTCCAGATGCCACACAGCGCATCAAGGTGGACCAGCCGGTGGTGGAGATGGACGGGGATGAGATGACTCGCATCATATGGGAGTTCATCAAAGAGAAGGTAAATGGAACAGACTAATAAAGCTTAACTTTTTAAATGATTCAAACTATAAAGAAACTGTAGATGTTTGTATTCAAAGTCAAAATGTGTTAGAATAATCTGAAACACTGCGTTTGTGTGTGGTTGCTGTCCAGTGTTGTCCTCGAACAAATAACACATCAACATCTTGTACGCGTGCAGCTCATCCTGTCCAATGTTGACGTCGAGCTGAAGTACTTTGACCTGGGCCTGCCCTACCGCGACCTGACAGACGACCAGGTCACCATTGACTCGGCTATAGCAACTAAGAAGTACAACGTGGCTGTCAAGTGTGCCACCATCACCCCAGATGAGGCCCGAGTTGAGGGTAAGTTGGACTCGTGTTAAATTAAATGCTAACTGCGACTATTAGTTATAGTTTTTAAAATAAATAATGAATAAAAATAGAGTTCATGATATTTTCCTAACTGAACAAATGGCAAAAGCTTATAATATACATATTTCTTTGTCAGAGTTTAAGCTAAAGAAGATGTGGAAGAGTCCCAACGGAACCATCAGGAACATCTTGGGTGGCACAGTTTTCCGTGAGCCAATCCTTTGTAAAAACATCCCTCGCCTTGTTCCCGGTTGGACACAGCCCATCACAATCGGCAGACATGCTTTTGGCGATCAGGTAAGAAATACAAACACGTGTTTGCTCTCAGCCAAGAATCATCCAAACTGTCAGAAGAGCAGTCTCACGTAACAGGTTTTCTGTTTTAATCCCACAGTACAGGGCCACAGACTTTGTTGTAGACCAGCCTGGCAAGTTCAATATGGTATTTTCCCCAGCTGATGGAAGCAAGCAGAAGGAGTGGGAGGTGTATGACTTCTCCGCAGGGGGCTGTGGGATGGGAATGTACAACACTGATGAGGTAAGAATGAGTTTGTTCCAGTGCAATATTTATAGACATTTCTACAGCTACTTAGCTATCTAATAATTTGGCGAGTGCCTTCGGGTTTTTTTTAATCAAATGTTCAGTTTATTATGTTTAAAATCTGGTCCCTTATTATTATATTTTCTTTACACAGTCCATCAGTGGGTTTGCTCACAGCTGCTTCCAGTATGCCATCAACAAGAGGTGGCCTCTGTACATGAGCACCAAGAACACCATCCTCAAGGCCTATGACGGGCGCTTCAAAGACATCTTCCAGGACATCTTCGAGAAGTGAGACACTGAGAATTCAGACTTGATTGTCTTATTACATTGCTTAAAGAATAAACTCTTCTGCAGACTCATTGTAATTACACAGTGTCCTCAATGGTCAGGACACTGTGAAGGAGACATAACACATTTTCATTATTCTGTCTTCTTCAGGGACTATAAGCCAGAGTTCGACAAGCTGAAGATCTGGTATGAGCACCGTCTCATTGATGACATGGTAGCCCAGGTCCTGAAGTCTTCTGGAGGATTTGTTTGGGCCTGCAAGAACTACGATGGAGATGTGCAGTCAGACATTCTGGCCCAGGGTAAGTACACTTCAGTTTGAATATGGGTTGGTAAAGTAGTTGTGATATTTCTATTTTTGTTCAGCGAGGGGCCACACAAGGTCACATTATTTACACACGAGCTGCCGTTTTGTTTTTGTATGTGGGCTTCTGATGGGATTGCCTTGTGATGCAAGGGTTGTCTGTGTGTTGTATCCAGGTTTTGGTTCTCTAGGTCTCATGACATCAGTACTGGTGTGCCCTGACGGCAAGACTATTGAGGCCGAGGCTGCCCACGGCACCGTCACCAGACACTACCGTGAACACCAGAGGGTAAGAGCCAGCACGTCACCTTGTAAACATTGTAACTTTGTTGGAACTGATTTGATTTTTAGACCTTGGGAGTGAGGAAATGTTTGCAAAGTGATGGACATGTTGGCCAGACCCAAAATTTCTGTGTACTCATTCATAGATGGGACTTAGTGTTAGGTTTGAGGTTAGATTTAGTTTTAGGCCAAAGGTTTTGAGTTGAAGTTGTAATAATTAGCTCCACTTATTTAACAAACGCTCATTAGAATGTTACAAGTTGGTGCAAATCTGTCCAACTTTTCTTCAAATGACAGAAGTGCACTGAAGAACCAGGCTTACCAAAACATTTTTTGTTCTTTTGCTTTTTGTCTTATCTGTAAGAACGTTAACTGCAAGTGTTAATGTTAACTGCAGTTGCACTCAGTTTGTGCTTCTCTCAGCCAACTGCAGTTTTGAAAAGTGCAATAAAGTGGGTTTAAAGAGCAGAAACAATGGAAGGGACTAAATTAATTTTATATTTTGTTTGTGATTTGCAAATAAAATTGTACTAGTTCTTCAGTATGAGACAAGATGCATAATTTTTTAATTTTTTAAATGTATTCCATAAATTCACGGTAGAAGAAGCAGAGATACTCATGTCCACGGTTGCATCAATAAACCTGATTGCAAAGCAACCACAAGACATGTTGAAGTTTCAGTACTTACCTTAACTGTGCCCTTGCTTTGTAGGGAAAACCAACCAGTACCAACCCCATTGCTAGCATCTTTGCCTGGACCAGAGGACTGGAGCACAGAGGCAAATTGGACGGAAACTCTGACTTGATAAAGTATGTTAGCAAATTATTTTGTGTCATTTACTCATGTGGCTTTATTTTTTTTTTTGTTGCAATTTTACATCACAATAATTTGTCACACTGCACTGTCACTCTCCAGGTTCTCCCAGACGTTAGAAAAAGTCTGTGTGGAAACTGTGGAAAACGGAGTG